TGTGAAAACTCAGCGAGCACATGGCCACTGATCACCGAGTTCTCACCGCCGCTCTAAGCAGAGAGCGGTAACTGTCAGTAACCGCTCTCTGCTCTGCTCCCCCTGGAGCTCACTGGAGCACTGGGATATGAAGGGGAAGGGAGCGGCTGGCTCAGCCTCTCAGCAGATCGCTGAGGTGCCGAGCCAGATGCCGCAAGCAACCAGACTCTGGGAGTCAGGATCTTTCCCCATCCTGGACCGCTGTTGGCTGAAAATAGGTTACAGGAGTGCAAAACTCAGAATGCAGGATTTTTGGTGCACTTTCAGGAAGTGCACTACACCTGCAAGATATAACAGAAGTCTATGGCAAAGGGGCGGACTGACCATTTGGAAACTCGGGCACTGCCCGAGGGCCCGGGGTCAGTAGGGGGCCCCATGAGATGCCCCTGGTACCTTTTTCATGGGCTTTTTTGAGTTTGGGCAAGGACACAGGGGCCCCATGATCCCCTATTGCCGGAGGGCCCCTTGAGTTGTCAGTCCGCCCCTGCTTGTGACTTGCCACAAAGTTACAATGTTGCCGTCTAATCACTGGGGGAGGGGAGACTGAGGAAATGCTTCCTCTTGTGCGCAGCAGATTGATGGCAACATCTCAGCCCAAGCAAAACCAGTGGACTGGAATGATAAATTGGAACTTTTTACGAAAAACTGATGCTGGAATTTATTCATGTTTGTGAAGTTACTAACGTGTCTACTTTAGGGCTAGGTTCACACCTGTGCGGGCCGCGATTTGCATGGGCACGATGCAGGTACCGCAGTGGCATCACCCACATCGATGTGAGCCTATGTTTTAAGCTGTTTTAGATTTTTTTTTTATTCTTTGTGTACAATCTTTGTGTAGCAAAAAAAAAAAAAAAAATATTATATATATACACACACACACACACACCCCAAAAATTTCCTCTCGCCCGCTCACATTGGGCGAGTGGAAATGAGGTGGGGGCGAGCAGTGCCGGGACTAGGGGTGTGTGGGAGGAGCGGTGGTGGGGACAGTGACAAGCAGAGATCTCCCTGTATGGCTTTCAATGAAGCAGCTGTAAGCCGCAGGAGGGAGAGGAGGAGAAGCGGCTTCCAGCTGCTTCATTGCTATAGCTGCTGGCAATAATTGCATGAAAAATCAGACAGACTGGTTGTACCCAAGTCGTAAAACAACCAGATTGGGTACAATCAATATGTCCAATCGATGGTTCCAATCTTAGCTTGTCCCTGCTAAATCAGCAGAGATTCGAACCATCTACAGCCAGCTTAAGGATTCCCATATCACTATCTGTTAATTAAATAGTCAGTACAGTAGAGAATCTTGCTTTGCAGCTCCCTTTGTCTGATTAAGGCTGCATTCACACTTGAGTATTTTGTAGCTTGAAGCTGGAAGCTCCAAAAAAGCTCAACCTAAAAAAAACAATTGTTCTCTCTGGTGCCTGTTCACACCTAATCAGGCAAACAGACACCATAGAGAACAATTGATTTTTTAAGTTTGAGCATTTTTGAAGCTTCAAGTTACAAAGCGCTCAAGTGTGAATGCAGCCTAAAGCCTCAAACTGAGCTCCAGATAACAGAAGAGTCACTGCTCTAAGGACTCATTAAATTCAGTCTTCATTCAGCACAGCAAAAAGTAATCATGCCAATAATGTGAAAAGAAGACCAGAGCTCCACCTGGTGGATGAATAGAAGATTGCATAAGGTTAACATGCGACAATTCATTTTTTGTGACTAAAAAACAGTTTTTATCATCTTGGTCCTGATGATGATAAAGAAAGAAATCATATACACAACAACTATACATTCCTCTTAAAAACTCTCAGAAGCCAGGAAATTATTCCAGAAAGCAAAAAAAAAAAAACAAAAACATTTCAGTGTGACATATAGAGATGATGTCATCACTGAGGGATGCAGGGTTTACAGGGTGCGCCAACACTAAACGTTGCATGCAGTGCAGCGAACGATAACAATGTTTCTGGGTTTTGGGGGCTGATTCTAAACTACTCTGAATGTAGTCATTTTAGGGGTTATGATGCATCAATCAATGAATGCTGAAGGCGACAATGGGTTTTACTCCCATTATTCGATGCCTAATGCTGATACAGCAAAGGCACTCAGCAGCTTAGCACACCCTGCTCCCTCCTGCCTGCATTGATGCTGCAGCTCAGTTCCCTCTGTTCCCCTCCCAGCAGTGATTCAGAAGTTCAGCTCAACTTCCTTCCAAGTACTGACTCAGCAATTCACCTTACCTCCCCCCCCCTCCTCCCATCAGTATCTCAGCAACTGAGCTTATCCTGATCCCTTTTCCCAGCACTGACTCTGCAGTTCGGCTTACCTTGCTCTCCCCCCCTCCTATCAGGGTTAGCTTCCCCTGCTTACCTCCCTCCCAGTATTGTGTCTATAGCTCAGCTCACCCTGATTCCTCCCCCAGCTGACTCAGCAGTGTTCCAGCATCCAATATCATGTAAAAAGAGAGCAGGATTTCTGGGAGGGGGAGCAGAGCTGGAATAATTTCGGTCATCTGCTGTGAAACGTAAGGATTAATTACTCCACAGTGTCTGCAGCTACAAAGGTCATGAAGGGCTCGCTTTACAGCTTATTTGCTGATTGTCAACAATATGTACAGTGAAGGAAATAAGTATTTGCTCCCCGGCTGATTTTGAATGTTTGCCCACTCACAAAGAAATTTATCAAAAATCGAATGTTCGGTGTATTGTAACACTGAGAGACAGAATAGCAACAAAAAATGAAACAGAAATGCATGTCTAACAAATGATGACTGATTTGCATGTTCATGAGGGAAATAAGTATTTGATCCCCAATCATTCAGCAGGATTTCTGGCTACCAGGTGTCTTTCATACAGGTAACAAGCTGAGATTAGAAGCAGTCTCTTAAAGGGAGTGCTGCTAATCTAATTTTGTTACCTGTATAAAAGGCACCTGTCCACAGGAGAGATCAAACCATCAGATTCCAAACTCTCCACCATGTCCTCCATGTGTGGAGGGAGCAGAAGTTCAAGTTGCCAAACGTCAGCCACCAAACCTTAATGACTTGGAGCAGGAGCGGACTGATAACTCATGGGGCCCCCTGGCAATAGGGGATCATGGGGCCCCTGTGTCCTTGCCCAAACTCCAAAAAAACCTATGAAAAAGGTACCATGGGCATCTCCTGGGGCCCCCTACTGACCCCGGGCCCTCGGGCAGTGCCCGAGTTTCCAAATGGTCAGTCTGCCCCTGACTTGGAGAGGATCTGCCAAGAGGAGTGGGCCAAAATCCCTCCTGAGATGTGTGCAAACCTGGGGGCCAACTCCAGGAAACGTGTGATCTCTGTGATTGCCAACAAGGGATTTGCCACCAAGTACTAAGTCATGTTTTGTGAAGGGGATCAAATACTTATTTCCCCCATGAACATGCAGATCAGTGCATCATTTGTTAGACATGCATTTCTGCTGAATTTTTTTCTTGCTATTCTGTCTCTGTGTTACAATACACCGAACATTCGATTTTTAGACTGATCATGTCTTTGTGAGGGGCGAACATTCAACATCAGCAGGGGATCAAATACTTACTTCCTTCACTGTAAGTACTTGACTGTTCATAGCCTGGCCACAGGTTCAGTTTCACCCTAGACTGGCTTTCAAACAGTTCTAGAATGTGCCAATGAATTGATGAAGCTCAGAGCATCAGAAAAGAAGGCGTATTGATGGGGCGCTGGATCTTGGTCTGAGTAGGCACTTTAAATGGAGTTTGGTGCGAAGGTTTGGTCTAAAAGCAGCTCACTCAAATCCAAGAGATCCAGAACACGAGCTCAGCAGAACCCAACAGACCTGGAAAAGGGTATTCGGGGCATACATGATATAAAAGGAGAGCGCACTAAGCTACGATGGATGGTCCAATTAAATTTTCATTCATTACAAGGATAAAGAGATATTGCCAACAAGTTCTAGGGGTAAAGGAGGTCCCCTTTCAGAGCTTGTAAGAGTTTATGTATTTAGAAGGCTTTGCTCATTTTGCTGGGCTAGCTGCGACACCAGTGACCTGGGCAAGCCTTTTAATTGAGTTTACAAGTCGAACCTATGTATTCCATCCAGGGGTGGACTGACCATTTAGAAACTCGGGCACTGCCCAAGGGCCCGGGGTCAGTAGAGGGCCCCATGAGATGCCCCGTACCTTTTTCATAGGCTTTTTTGAGTTTGGGCAAGGACACAGGGGCCCCCCTATGAGTTGGCAGTCCACCCCTGATTCCATCATTTCATCCAATCACCTATGCAGTGTCAAATCTTACAAGCCCTGATGAAGAGGGACTTTAGAGCCTGAAACGCATTGCCCATGGCTCTATATCAAAGTAATGAATACAAATCAAACTAGACCATACATCAGAGTGACAACCTCTTCTTTTTTTACCATACCAGATCTTCAGGGAGATTATTTGAGCTTCCATGTGGTGTTTAGTATGTATTAGTCCTGCCGTCAAAGCCTTCACTTGGCCAATCATTTATCAGAAGCAATAGAGATACATTGTTACCATCTGTCCTGCTGAAATATTTGCTGACTTTGCAATGTTGTTCTGGCAGGGGTCACAAACATGGCTGCCACTCTATATATGCCCAGGCTACTTTCCACCTTGGTCGAGACCTGGACATTTATATAGATGTCTTTACAGGGAGACAATACAGGGCATGCATTACTCACACATTCTGCCCAATGTCTATTGGTAGGATTACGTTTACAATAGACAGAGAAGTAAAACAAGACAGTTGCGTGTTTGTGGTAGGGGAGCAGTTGAACCCAGGACACCTCAGAGCAGCAGAGGAAAGCAAAAAACTTAGGCAAGGCACAAAAAGCCTCGGAGGTGGCATAAGAGGTCTGGGTACAAAGTGCAGGTTTCAGCTGTGCAGACAATTCTCACACTGTTCTCCTGCATACCTGAGCCTTAGAGAGGAGGAGGAGGTGCAGGGTGAAGGTAGAAAAGAGCCTTCCCAGGGTTAGGAATTAAGGGCATCAATACCTGCGGGGGTTAAAACCAGGGCCTGAAGGATGTCTGACAGTGACACAATTCCACGGGGTCGGCGTTCTTCATCCACCAGTACAAACCGATGAACCTGACATGAAAGGAGATTCAAGAGTTAAATAGACGTAAAATGGAAAACCGGTTATTGAACTCACCTGACCTGATATAATAGTTCATCTAAGTTCTGTGGACATTGATCAGCTACCGTCAGATCCACAGCAAAGTGTGCACATGGCAAGTAAATGGCTACAGCTGTGCTCAAACGTTTGTATAACCCGGCATAAATGGTGAAATATGTGGCATTGAAATAGAAAATATAACTGATTGTACCAAAAAACTGTCCTTTATTTAACCCCTCGCCTACAGGGCACTTCTACCCCCTTCCTGCCTACAGGGCACTTCTACCCCCTTCCTGCCTACAGGACACTTCTACCCCCTTCCTGCCTACAGGGCACTTATACCCCCTTCCTGCCTACAGGGCACTTATACCCCCTTCCTGCCTACAGGGCACTTATACCCCCTTCCTGCCTACAGGACACTTCTACCCCCTTCCTGCCTACAGGGCACTTCTACCCCCTTCCTGCCTACAGGGCACTTATACCCCCTTCCTGCCTACAGGGCACTTATACCCCCTTCCTGCCTACAGGACACTTATACCCCCTTCCTGCCTACAGGACACTTCTACCCCCTTCCTGCCTACAGGGCACCTATACCCCCTTCCTGCCCAGGCCAATTTCCAGCTTTCAGCGCTGTCACACTTTGAATGACAATTGCGCGGTCATGCAATACTGTACCCATATGAAATTTTTATCATTTTTTTGAGACAGATAGAGCCTTCTTTTGGTGGTATTTAATCACCTCTGGGTTTTTTATATTTTCTTAAACAAACCAAAAACCACTGAAAATTTTGAAAAAAAAAAATTTTTTTTAGTGTTTGTTATAAAAATTTTGTAAATAAGTGATTTTTCTCCTTCACTGATGTGCGCTAATGATGCTGCAGTGATGGGCACTGATAGGCTGCACTGATGGACACTCATAGGTGGCACTGATGGGCACTGATGAGGAGGCACTGGTAGGTGGCACTGATGGGCATTGACAGGCATCACTCATAGGCACTGAAAGACAGCACTGATACATGGCACTGATATATGGCACTGTTAGGCAGCACTGACTGGCACTGATAGGCGGCACTGGCTGGCACTGATAGGCGGCACTGACTGGCACTGATGCACACTGATAGGCGGCACTGACTGGCACTGATAGGTGGCACTGATGGCAGCACTGATAGGTGGCACTGATTGGCATTGATAGGGGGCACTGATTGGCATTGATAGGTGGCAGTGACTGGCACTAATGGATGACACTGAAAGGCAGCTAAGATGGGCACTGATATGTGGCATTGATGTGCACTGGTATGCACTGATATGTGGCACTGATAGGCACTGGCACATGGCACTGATGGGAACTGATAGCGGGCACTGATGGACTTTGACAGGTGGCACTGCTGGGGCTACACTGATCATCAGGGCACACTGATCATCAGTGCCCTGATGATCAGTGCACATGTCCCCTCCCGAGGAATGCTGATTACCGGCTCTCCTCTCCTCCATCAGCGTGACAGCTCGAGAGGAGAGAAATGCCCATAACCGGCATTTCCCTGTTTACATGTGATCAGCTGTGATTGGACACAGCTGATCACATGACCGAGCCGACATCTTCGGCTCTTTCCGTGATCGGTGATCCGCTGTGTCCGAGGGACACAGCGCACCGCCGATCGCCGCGCTGCGCACTCCCTGAGCCGCGCATGCGCGGTGAGAATAGGAGGACATCATATGACCGCCTCCCAGAACGAGAGAACAACCTTGCGCCCGTAATTGGACTATGTGGCGGGCGGGAGGTGGTTAAGGATAGTGATCATATGAAGCCATTTGTTATCACATAGTTGTTTGGCTCCTTTTTAAATCAAAATGATAACAGAAATCACCCAAATGGCCCGGATAAAAAGTTTCCATCCTCTGGAATGTTTGGCCTTGGTACAGACACACAAGGTGAAATACTCAGGTTAAAATGGCAGTTAAAGGTTAATTTCCCACATCTATGGCTTTTTAAATTAGTCAGTCAGTTTTTTAGCTCCACACGAATGAATGCATTGAGCAGGCTCTGAACCATGGGAAGCAGAAAAGAACTGTGAAAAGAAATGCGTAACAGGTAATGGAACTTTATAAAGATGGAAAAGGGTATAAAAAGATGTCCAAAGCCTTGAATATGCCAGTCAGTACTAAGAAGTGGAAAATTCGGGAATCTCTGGATGCCAAGCCAAGAACAGGTAGACCAAGAAAGATTGCAGCCACAACTGCCAGAAGAATTGTTCAGGACACAAAGAAAACCCCCCAGGTAAATGCAAGAGAAATACAGGCTGCTCTAGAAGACGATGGTGTGGTTGTTTCAAGGAACACAATATGACAATACTTGAACAAAAATTAGCTACATGGTTAAGTTGCCAGAAAGAAGCTTTTACTGCACCAATGCCACAAAAAAGCCCGGTTACAATATTCCTGACAACACCTTGATAGGTCTCACAGCTTCTGGCACACTGTAATCTGGAGTAATGAGACCAAAATAGAGCTTTATGGTCACAACCATAAGTGCTGTTTTTGGAGAGGGGTCAACAGCGACAAGAATACCATCACCACTGTGAAGCATGTTGGTGGATCACTGATGTTTTTATTTTGGGGGGGGGGTGAACTCTAAAGGCACAGGCAATCTTGTGAAAATTGATGGCAAGATGAATGCAGCATGTTAACAGGAAATACTGGCAGACAAATTTGCATTCTTCGGCACAAAAGGTAAGCATGGCACGTTCTTGGGACTTTCCAGCAGGACAATGTTGTCCTTTTAGTGGTTACACAGCCAAGTTGTCCCTCCAGTGGTTACAGCAGAACAAGGTGAATGTTCTGGAGTGGCCATCACAATCTCCTGACCTTAATGTCATTGAGCCACTCTGGGGAGATATCAAATGTGCGGTTCATGCAAGACGACCAATGAATGACCTGGAGGCATTTTGCCTTGACAAAGACAAAGAAAAATAACAGGATGTGCCACTTTCTTGCATTGATAAATTCTTTGGTATTCACCTTTCCATTTACTTTTTTTTTTTTTTTACACACAACTACACTAAAAGGTTAGTCAGCCTACAAGTATTTTTTTTAGTTACAGTATATGGTGTGTTGAATACTCCTTGACAATTCCTGACTCTACTCCTGTCCACCAAGTGTTTGGATGTTCCTGATAATCTTGTCACCTATAACACCTAAGTGTTTGGGTGTTCCAGTTCCTCTTGTTTTACTTTCAGTAATATAATATAAATACACATTTATCAGGGATGGTAGGAGCTGGTTATAATGGGCACAACAGAGAATGATGAGTATCTGACAGAAGAGAAACTGTCAGGGGTGTAACTCGTAGGGTTCCATGTAACAACATGGTGACAATACAAGAGCACAACAAAAAGATGTCACCACATGTCAGGAAGTGCCTGTCCCATGTCCTTCATGGCAGGATCACCAGTCAGGCATATAAAAAAAAAGATTAAAAACCACTTATGAACTTACACAATATGGCCAAAAGCATGGGGTACTCCTTCAAAAGGTAAGGCTACAGCATGCAAAGACACTTTAGACAATTGTGCAGAACGGTTTGGGGAAGACTCTGTTCTGTTACGCCTGTGTCCCTGTGTACAAACCAGCTCCATAAAGACATGATTTGATGAGTGTGGTGTGGAGAAACTCGAGTGACTTTCACAAAGCCCTGACCCCAACTCTACTGAACACCTTTGGGATGAAATGGAACAAGCAATGTTTTCTCAACCATCATCTCCATAAAGACACGGTTTGGTGAGTTTGGTGTGGAGAAACTCAAGTGGATGCACAGAGCCCTGACCTAAACCCTACTGAACACCTTTGGGATGAACAGGAACACTGATCCAACCTGACCTCAAAAATGCTGCCCCAGAAACACTCCAAAATCTTGTGTAAAGACTTCCCAGAAGAGAGGAGGCTGTTTTAGCTGCAACGGAGTGGAAAACGTCAAATTAATGCTTATGGTTTTGAATTGTGATGTCCAACAAATCTGGTGGAGGAACTTGAGTGACCTTCACAGAGCCCTGACAAGAACCCTACAAGACTCTATTGGGAAGAACAATTTTTTTTTTTTTTTTGATGCAATGAACACAGATTCCCAAAGACACACTGTGTAACTGTGAATTGGCCAACTTCATATTTGGTTTTGAAATGGGATGTCCAAAAAATTGGGTGGAGAAACGTGAGTGGCCTTCACAGAGCCCTGACCTCAACTCTACTGAACACCTTTGGGATGAACAAACACTGATCCAACCTGACCTCACAAATGCTGCTTTGGCAGAATGGGCACAAATTCCCACAGAAACACTCCAAAATCTTATGGAAAGACTTACCAGAAGAGAGGAGGCTGTTTTAGCTGCAACGGAGTGGAAAACATCATAGTAATGCTTATGGTTTTGAATTGTGATGTCCAACAAATCTGGTGGAGGAACTTGAGTGGCCTTCACAGAGCCCTGACTAAAACCCTACAAAACTCTATTGGGATGAACTTAAAAACCAGTACCTGACCTCACAATTTTTTTTGTGCCACGGACACAAATTCCCAAGGACACACTGTGTAACTGTGAAGTGGCCAACTTTATATTAACGCCAATGGTTTTGAAATGGGTTGTCCAACAAACTCATATAGAAGTAATAGGTGCCCACAAATGTTTAGATATATAGTGTACATTAGCAGGTTAAAGGTATACGAGACATCAGTGAATGGGTTTAGTTCTACTTGAAGGCCTCATACATACAGACACCACAAGAAGAGGCGCCTTTGGAACTGTTTTCTCCATTGAAGGACAGCCATGACTATTTTTTTTTTTACCCTGAGAAAGTATTGTCTGCAGAGGGAACGCATACAGTTTAGCATTACATTCAGTACCTGCTCCTTTACTATGCGGTCTATCACTGTCTCCAGGGTCTCATGCGGGTAACACATCAGGACACCTTCTAGGCACAAGCTGCGCCGCCGTAAAGCCTCGCCCACTGTTATGTCCAGGTTGTTATAGATCTTTTGTGCTGCCAAGTGCTGAAAAATATAAAACAAATCATAGACTGAGGAAAAAAAAATAAAACAAAATAAAGTTGATAGCCAGCAGCGCTGAGCAGTACATTCTAATGGCGGGAAAGTTTCCCCCCATGTCAGAATACAAAGGCCAAGTGGGGAACATTCCCCAATCCACCTCGTATGTGTGGATAGGAAATCGACTCTTTTTTTTTCTTCTGTTCAACCATTCATGAACAAAAAGGTCTGAACTCAAAGACAAGGCTGTATTGGCTAAGCAACTCAGGATGGCTGTTCGTGCCTATTCAGATAAAATCTGATTTATGAAACAGCAGAATGCACTTAAGCCAATCGGCCAGAATGTAGATGAACCAAATAGCTCCATGAACATTTTCCTGTCCACAAATTGCATCATAATATTTCAACTTTATTACTGTTACAAGCTTATTTTATTTTATCGCATGCATATACTGTGATTGTCATTAAATTTGTTTGAAATTTGGCATTATTTGACATTTGGAACCAGTTTTCAATTGGCAGGGAAGAGGGGGCCAAGGAGAGCTTTCTTCCTCAGAGCTCATAGTGGCCCTCAGCATCTGGCTCTCTGAAACACTTTTAGGTACAGGGGCGGACTGACCATTTGGAAACTCGGGCACTGCCCGAGGGCCCAGGGTCAGTAGGGGGCCCCATGAGATGCCCCTGGTACCTTTTTCAAAGGCTTTTTTGAGTTTGGGCAAGGACACAGGGGCCCCATGATCCTCTATTGCCCGGGGCCCCATGAGTTGTCAGTCCGCCCCTGTTTAGGTAATTGATATTAATGTACTCACTATGACGTCGAATCTGGAGTACAGACCAACAACTTGCCCTGAAAAGTAAAATAAAATGGGGTTAAAAACACAAGAAACACAGAGAAGACATGCAATATAAATGGACATTGCAGAAAGTTTGCAGTTTAAAGTGGAACTTCACTCTCTCAATCAACATTGACTATTTTTAATCCTTATGATACTAGCATTAGTAAATTAACAGGAAATTATTTGACTTGTTGTTTACATTTGCTCAGTTACTTCCTTGTGTTTGGCCTAGGCCAAAATGATGTCATACATCCCAGGAGTCTTCAGGAGGGGAGAGGGGGGGGGTTTCTGAGCTGAACACACCTTCCTGCCTGCATACCTAATCTAAGGGCAGATGGATTCCAGGAAGTAAATGCTACATGAATCATCTGACCTTATTCAAGATGTCCACCGCCAGAATGGCTAGGGGGAGATTTCTTGGCAGAGATTTTATTCCTCTTCTGTCTCTGGAACAGGGAAATCTCCATGACAGGGACACGGATAGCAGTGGAAACCCATCCCCTTTCTCACAGGGTGGACTGCTTATGCAGAGCGGAGGCAGACACAGCCCGCGGTCCTCTATGGGCGGTCGCATGTAATCGGATTGCCTGTCCGTTAACACCCGACTGCCACCCGATCCAATCTGCTAGACGGATGGGGAAGGTATCCGTATCTGTTTGTTTTTCGCTTACAGGACCCGATGTAGACAGGTGTAGAAGGACACAAGTCCGTTTACATCCGTTGCTCCATAGAGGATTACGGAGGGTCTGATTGGTCCGCCCATGTGAAAGGGGCCTAAGGAAAAAAGAGGTTTAGCTTGGAGTTCCGCTTAAAAGCTTTTTTATACTTCTTTACACAAAGGTAACATTTTTATAGCAGGCACCATATGATGCCTTCTGTTACTTTCCAGCACTCCTTGGTAAATAAAATAGCACTTTTTATTGGGAAATATAACGCTCCCCCGAATTTTACAATTTAGTAGTGATTACTAACTATCCCAGGCATTACAACTGTCATGATATGATCTATTTTCCCAGAATAGGAAAGGAAAAGTGGGAATTAATAGGGCCCCCATTGAGACTGTGGCAGGGAAAATAAAGTTTCAAGTCCCCACAAAGTATAGCCCCCCCCACTACAACTGGACAGTGTTAAGCTCCTCCCCAGGGTATATTATATAATGGGGAAGATTCCAGAAATTGGGAGTTTTTAGCCCCCCACTATGCCTAGACATTCCTGGAAGAAAAGTGACCAATGGAGAGAAGAATTGGAGAGAAAAGAGGGCTATAAAAGGGGGTCCGTTAATAGAAAAAAAAAACAGAAACCAGGGAGGCATCTCTGTGGTGCTCCCCTCCTACCCGCCCATTTTCGTCGCGGCCAATATTATTGGGAAGTATCATATTAAATGATAGTAGAATGTGTAAGTATGTTCATTGCAAAAAGCTGTATAGTTAATGAGTATGGTTGGTAAGTGTTGTGTTCATTTATATTATTATACATTATTACAGGATTTATATTTATTACAGGATTTATATTATTATTATTATTATTATTATACAGGATTTATTATTATTATTATTTTATTATTATTATTATTATTATACAGGATTTATATTATTATTATTATACAGGATTTATATATTATTATTATTATTATTACAGGATTTATATATTATTATTATTTATTATTATTATTTATACAGGATTTATATTATTATTATTATTATACAGGATTTATATTATTATTATTATACAGGATTTATATTATTATACAGGATTTATATTATTATTATTATACAGGATTTATATTATTATTATTATACAGATTTATATTATTATTATTATTATACAGGATTTATATTATTATTATTATTTTATTATTATTACAGGATTTATATATTATTATATTATACAGGATTTATATTATTATTATTATACAGAATTTATATTATTATTATACAGGATTTATATATTATTATTATTATACAGGATTTATATTATTATATACAGGATTTATATTATTATTATTATACAGGATTTATATTATATTATTATACAGGATTTATATATTATTATTATTATACAGGATTTATATATTATTATTATTATTTATTATACAGGATTTATATTATTATTATTACAGGATTTGTATATTATTATTATTATACAGGATTTATATATTATTATTATTATACAGGATTTATATTATTATTATACAGGATTTATTTATTATACAGGATTTATATTATTATTATACAGGATTTATATATTATTATCATTATTATTATTATTATTATTATACAGGATTTATGAACAATACAGTTCAATACAAGAGGGCTAGGAGGGCCTGATCCTGAGAGCTTACAATCTAGGAGACTTCAGGGATTTCCAGGGTTATGGCCAGGTATATATATATATATATATATATATATATATATATATATATATATATATAAATAAAATATTACCCCAGTCCAAGCTGGAACTGTGAAAAAATATATCATGCCTGGAGTTCATCTTCAATACTTTACTTTTAGGCTTTTAGTGCAAAATGTTTTTTTCTGGGGGGGGGGGGGGGGGGATTTGTACATGGTGATCTGAGATAAGTGAAGCAACAACACCATGTCAGGCATTACAAGATACATACTGCATGAAATGTACTGCAGGAGAATAAAAATCAGGACATGTCAAACATTACGCTACTTTAAAAAAAAAAACTGCTTAAAAATATTAATGGCAAATTCCACCTTTTAAATAATCCTCAGATGATCTGGACCCCTCCACGAGGTGATAAGTCGAATCTCGCAGTTCACGCGTGAGAAATTGGGAGCCATGATCAAAGGCTTCAGCTGCAATGGCACCTGCAGAGCACAATCTGGACTGCCTCCTATGAGGAACCTCTATGAGAGCTATTATACACATCTGGATAAAGGTCCCCCTGCTAGCAGCAGCCTCCCGTCCAAGTGAATACACAGGTGGCCCAAATCATCTGAGAGAAGCTGCAGTCACCATCTTCTTTAGTTCCTAAAAGTTTCCAAACATTTGATAGGTATGAGTCCTGCTGGTGATGAGTATTGGTATAGACTTCACATTTTGAGGAAGAGAGCAATGGGGTTCATTCCTATGAGGGACGCTGTACATTTCATTATTGCACATAATTCACTTTGGACATATTGCTTGTTCATAAGTACGGCTGGAGTCGTAGTGACTATGCTGGGGGTTTTGAGTAAGATTAAAAATGTTTTACACTTATTAGTAAGCTAATACGTAAAAATAAAGAGTTGTTATAAAGAATGTTTTTTACACCAATAATAAAATGGCCGCAGCCAAGTTAGCACCAAACAATAAGAGTTGTGGTCTTTTATTGTATAGAATAAAGAATACTGCCAACAGTCCCATTGTTATAACAAAATTGGTGCAGCGCTCCCACACTTGTACTTATATAAATTATTAAATCAAAATGAGGTTTCAATTACACCCCTAGTGAATCCTCCTGTGCAGGGGAGGACTGACCATTTGGAAACTCGGGCACTGACCAAGGGCCAGGGGTCAGTAGGGGGCCCCATGAGATGCCCTTGGTACCTTTTTCATAGGCTTTTTTGAGTTTGGGCAAGGACACAGGGGCCCAATGATCCCCTATTGCCCGGGGGCCCCATGAGTTGTCAGACCACCCCTGCTCCTGTGTATAATTATCACAAACTCAATTCTTCATATTATTATACAATCTTATACAATGATGTTTGATAAACCATATGAAACAAAAAATAAATGTGCAAAACACATAAAAACACAATACAATTGCAAGAAAAAGTATGTGAACCCCTTGGGATTACGTGGAGTTTTGCATGAATTGGGCATAAAATGTGCTCTGAACGTCATCCAAGTCACAACAATAGAAGAACACAGTCTGCTGAACATAATACTACACAAACATTAGATGTTGCCATGGTTTAATTGCACATAACATGTAAACATTCACAGTGCAGGGAGGAAAAAGTATGTGAACCTTTGGACTTAATAACTGGTTGACCCTCCTTTGGCAGCAATAACCTCAACCAAACGTTTCCTGTAGTTGCAGATCAGACCTGCACAACGATCTGGAGTCATTTTGGACCACTCCTCTTCACAAAACTGTTTCAGTGTAGCAATATTCTTGGGATGTCTGGTGTGAATCGCTCTCTTAAGGTCATGCCACAGCATTTCAATCGGGTTGAGGTCAGGACTCTGACTGGGCCACTCCAGAAGGCGTATTCTGTGCTGTTGCAGCCATTGTTTTGTTGAATTACTTGTATGCTTTGGGTCATTGTCCTGTTGCATCACCCATCCTCTGCGGAGCTTCAGTTGGCGGACAGATGGTCGTACGTTTTCCTGCAAAATGTCTTGATAAACTCTGGAATTCATTTTCCCATCAATGACAACAATCCATCCAGGCCCTGAGGCAGCAAAGCAGCCCCAAACCATGATGCTCCCTCCGCCATGTTTCACAGTGGGGATGAGGTTTTGATGTTGATGTGCTGGGCCTTTTTTTCTCCACACATAGTGTTGTGTGTTCTTCCCAAACAACTCAATCTTGGTTTCATCTGTCCACAGTATATTTTGCCAGTAGTGCTGTGGAACATCCAGGTGCTCTTTTGCAAACTTCAAATGTGCTGCAATATTCTTTTTGGACAGCAATGGCTTCCTCCGTGGTGTCCTCCCATGTACTCCATTCTTGTTTAATGTTTTCCTTATTGTAGATGTGTCCACAAAAATGTTAGCATGTGCCAGAGATTTCTGTAGGTCTTTAGCTGACACTCTGGAATTCTTCTTTACCTCATGCAGCATTCTGCGCTGTGCTCTTGCAGTCATTTTTACAGGACGACCACGCCTAGGGAGAGTAGCAACAGTGCTAAACTTTCTCCATTTGTAGACAGTCTGTCTTACCGTGGACACATGAACATCAAGGCTTTTGGAGATACTTTTGTAACCCTTTCCAGCTTCATACAAGTCAACAATTCTTGATCAAAGGTCTTCTGAGAGCTCTTTTCTGCGAGGC